TTTGGGAAAGCCCTACAAAGAAGGGGGGGGGGGAGTGCCGCAGACGGGTAGGAGGTGGCCAGTGATGGAGCCTGTGAGAAGCTGCAAGAACAAATCCCCACCCAGAAAGAACAAAACCAGGTGGACGCAGGAGGGGTGGGATATAACAAAAATCTTGTTTGGCTGTTTGAGTCGCCTCAGTCAGGCCAAGAGAGTGACCCAGCATTTTCTCTAAATTAACTTACAAAACACTGAGACTGAAAAACAGGACTTTGGTGACAGGAAACAGAGAGCAGCAAACCAGGCCCAAAATAACTCTGGCCGCTTATCAGTATGGGTTCATTTTGTATCCTAACCAGCTTTGAACCTAGTACCAATATGTGTTCCTTTTGAATCCTAACCAGCTTTGTTGCCTGCACACAGGTCCCCCAGGTGTCCCTTTGCTGCCTCTCCTGTGGGCTACATGGGATGGTTTGCATGGAGGGAGATTTGCAACCATATGTTAAAGGTTGCTGCCTTTCCACCGTCAAGGAGAAACGTACCCCAGGAGTTTATCACCAAATTCCAAACTGCAGTGGCTGGGAACTCTACCTGGCTTCACAGAACACATGTGCAGTTCTAGGCTTGAATACTGCTTGAAAGACACTCAAAAGCTACTAGGATAGGGGCAGGGCAAAATCTGCACAAAAACTGGCGCTGGAGCTCAATTCAGGGTGGTAACCTGACCAGCTCTCTCCCCTCTCTCTCCCAATGCAAACTACTGCTTCCCAAGGGGCACTGTGACTCATTCAGCATTGTTTTGCTTGTATCTAACCTTAAAGATGGAAAGAATTATGTACGGCATTGTGATTTGCTTTTTTCATTTCCCTTAATATGGTTTCCTGGTAATGTAAGATGAAAAATCTTGGTTTCTGGTGGTGAAGTTAACAGCTGCCTATTACATACAGTAAGGTATAAGCAAAAGGTTATGGTCATGCACAATTAGGATAAACACACAAGGGCTGGTTAGGTGGTATACAAAGTCTATTTAACTAGTAAAGGGAGCCAGGGAAAAGGGTAATTTCTGCTGTGCAGGTGCCTGCCACTGATCTCCCATCCTCCTTATTTCCCTCAGTCTCTGAGAGCAGCCACCAAATAATAAACCATTCCTAGTCTGACTCTGGGCTGCTGTGAGCAGAAAACCTGGGCTCAGAGGACAAGCATTCTCAGGATAGCTCTGCCTCTTGGCAGAGGGCATTGCCACGTCAGCCCCTGACTCACAGGTGACACAGTGGCCTGCCTCCTGCAGCCCCTGTCTCCTCCTGCCCTGCCCACTCTTCCACAGAGAGGACACAAAGGTCGATGCCTGGAGGACCCTGAAGGGATCTCGAAAAGAATCTTAAAAGGGAGACTACTTGGCACATATGCCGTTCACTTCATATATGAGTCCACAGCTATCTATTTATATATTCTGGACATTGGATAAAAGAGTTGGTAAAACATGAGAAAACCATTTTCCAGCCTCTCAACTACATTGGCCAAGAACACCCTTTGTTCATCACTGAATATAGACCTAAGACCAGCAGGGAGGGGGGATTCTGTGTCTGGATGGGTGAGCCTAATTATAACTCCCATACCTTTCACTACATTAAAAGAAAGCAGTGTGTCAAAAGTCCTTTATTCTAAGGCAGCTGAGACCCCTGAAGGGTTCACTGCTCTTCTGTTTTGCTGCTATTCCTGAACTTCACCACCATGACTGTTATATTGTCAGGGCAGCCTCTGTAAAATGATTGTAAAACTATGCTCTTGGCACCAAAGTGAGGTTCGTCCAAGCGCTCCTTGATGAATCGAACTGCTTCTTCATTGCTGAAAGCATCCCAGAGGCCATCTGATGCCAAGATCATGAATTCGGGCTGGAGCTTGTCCAGGTCAAAGGTCAGGATATCGGGGTCTGGGATGACCACGTTGAGATTTTTCAGTGGATAATCCCCCAGGGACCGAGACATGGCCAGGATTCCCTGGACTCTCCAGGAGCCATTGAAACTGATGAAACCACCTAGAAAGACAGAATGAGCCCATTAGCTTGACCGTCTGCGGTACAGTCTGGTGCATCTATGACATGCTGATCTACTGCATGTGAGCTGGTCATGGCTGCTTTCTTCACCTCTATCATTCCTAGGACCAAGCAGTATCTTGCTGCATGGCTTGACACTCTACCAGCTGATTCTTCTGCCTTCATCCTTGGAATCTTGAAGAACTTCAAGAATATATCAATAAGAGCACTGAGGGCAGGGATATGAATGGAGAAGGCCACTGGTTTTAACTTAAATACTGTCAATCACTGTGGCACTTCTCTGATTGACAGTAGAGAGCACTAAGGTGGGGATTCAAGGAGAATAGCAGAAGAATGCTGAAAGGCAGGTGGACGGACACCTTGTACACATCATTTAGCCTGAGGCCACCCTGGGGTGTGCCTATGTAGATCTCAAAACAGCCCCCCAAATAGGATCAGGATTAGAAAAGCACATTTTAGTACAGTCTTTAAAGGCTTAGGTCAGACTGCTTGAATTTGATTAACTTTGTCACTTCTAGCTATTTGTGACTATGAGAAACTCTCTGATCTTCGGTCTCCCTGGATGGGACAGTATCTATTTCATGGCTTGTTGTTGAGAAATAAAGGAGTTATTACATCTATATCATTTAGCATAGTGCCTGAACATAATATATATTCAATAATATTATCTATTATTATTTTTTCTTTAAAGGAGCTAGAACTTTGTTCATTCAAATATTTGTCAATTATTTATTAAATACCTGCTCCATGTAGACAGTTTGCAGGATATGAAGTTATACAAGATCCAGACCTTTCTCTAAGAAGTAGACAGTCTGGCAGGAGAGATAAGCCATATGCGTTAAATGTTATAAGCACAAAGTTGTATTCTTTCAGGGTGAGACTAGTATCTGCTAAATGCTGCAGGCAGATGGAAAAGAAAGGGATGATTTCTGAGTGTGATAATCAGGAAGGAATGAACATTAAAGCTGAGCTTTGAATGATGGGTAGGACTTCTGTGGGCACGGATGTAGGAGAACATTCCAAGAAGTATGGTCTAGTGGGCAAGGGCATGGGCTTTAGAGTCAGTCAGTCCCGGGTTTCAATTCTGGTCACACCACTCACTAGCTGTGTGTCTGTGGGCACACAAGCCTCTTTGAGGTTCCAGTTCATTGGCTGTAAAAAGGATAATATTAGCAACCTCATAAAATAGGTAAACAGAGAGCATATGTAAAGCACTAGGCTTGGCTTCTAACACAGAGTGAGCAAACAATGAACAGCAGCTGATGTTGTCTTTGTTACTGGAAATAGCATAAGGAGTGGAGACACAAAGACCAACGTGTATTTGGCCCAGACTGGTTGGAGCTTACTGTCATACCAAGCAGGAAGAGAAAAGATGCCCTGAAAGGAAGGTTGGGGTCAGAAAACATACATAAAGATGGTAAAACCAATCATTGTTCCTTAAGTTCTTCTATATAATACACCCTTGGCCAAATTACACAAAAGAACAGAGCAGGTTAGATTAACCTCCTTGAAGACGGTGTCCAAATTTGCCTCTCTAAAGAATCACTGTAGGGTGTGGGTGTGGGTGGTGGTATGGCAGGGAAGAGGAGGGAGGATAAAATGTGAGTGACGCTTCAGAAGAGGGCACGACATTCCCAGGTGTACTATGTACACATCCCTGCCTGTGCTTATGCGAGAGTGGGCTAACTGTATCTTAAGTCCAGGCTCACAGTGGACTCCTACAGGGAAATGGTGTCTTCCTACGTAAGGAAGTCAGAGTATTTCACTCATACTGTTTGGAGCTCATCAAAGCTCGACAGATGCTCCTAAAACATTGCTTGTTCCATACCATCTACAGAAAACCTGACCAAAGCTTTCATTAGAAATTATTCTGCATCTCAAGCAGTCACTGAAGCAGGAGGTCGTAATAACATTCATCACATTTTGACTAAACAGTACAGCTTCCTACTGTGAAAACTCAAATGTTGATTAGGTTCATTTCATTCATTCACTGGGCAGATGCTGACCTGTAGAGATTGAGGGTCGATCTGCAGATTAACCCAGACAGCAGGGGCCCGTCATGGTCAGAGACTAGTGTGCGTGAGCACCATACTCGCTGGACTCCGGCCCTGCCGCCTGACATATCATGAAGCACGTACATGCTGCAGTTGTCATTCTGGGGAGCGAAAGAATTCTTCCCTTCTGTAGGTATGAAGGAATTACCCCAAATTTAACTATGAAAATATAGTAACCAAGTGATAACTCTCCTTCAAGTCTTTATCCAAATGTCACTTGGCAAGACCTACACAGACTGTGCTACTTAAAACTGCAACTCCCTGACACTCCTCATTCCTACACCTGCTTCATGTCTCTCCATAGCAGTTATCGCCCTGTGATATAGTATATAACTTACGTATTTTTACTTTTCTTTTTGTTAATGTCTATCTACTCCATCGCCCAGCTCCATGACAATTTCAGAATGTTAAGTTTCATGAGGACCTTTTTTGGGGAGGGGGTGTTGTTGTATCCCCAGCTCCTAGGATGGTGAACACATGAATGAATTAGGGAACCCTCCACCCCCTTGCTACCCAGCTCTTAAATATTTACTCATACTAGGCACTGTGTTAAGTACTCAGGGTATGGAAATGAACAAGACCAAGTTCCTGCCTTCAAAGAGCTCACAGTAGGATTGGGGGAAGGACTGCTTCTTCAATAAGTGGTGCTGGGAAAACTGGACCTCCATGTATAGAAGAACCTGTACCTCTCACCACATACCAAAATCAACTCAAAATGGATCAAAGACATATATAAGACCTGACACTATAAAACTACTAAAAGAAAACACAGGGGAAACACTTCAGAAACTAGGAATGGGCAAAGACTATAAATAATACCCCAAAAGCACAGGCAATAAAAGAAAAAATAAACAAATGGGATTATATCAAACTAAAAAGCTTCCTCACAGCAGAAGAAATAGTTAACAGAGCAAAAAGACAACCTACAGAATGAGAAAAATATTTGCAAACTATTCATCTGACAAGGTATTAATATCTAGAATATATAAGGAACTCAAATAACTTGACAGTAAAAAAACAAGTAACCCAATTAAAAAATGGGCAAAGGAGCTGAGTAGGCATCTTCTCAAAGGAAGATATACAAATGGCCAAGAGACACATGAAAAAATACTCAACATCACTAAGCATCAGGGAAATCAAATTAAAACCACACTGAAATATCATTTCACCCCAGTTAGACTGGCCATTATCCAAAAGACAGAGAATAACAAATGCTGCTGAGGATGCAAAGAAAGGGGAACCCTCCTACACTGTTGGTGGGACTGTAAACTGGTGCAGCCATTATGGAAAATGGTATGGATGTTCCTCAAACAACTACAGAGAGAATGCCACATGATCCATCAATCCCACTGTTGGGTGTATACCTGAAGGAATAGAAATCATCATGTTGAAGGGACACCTGCACTCTCATGTTTATCACAGCTCTATTTACGATAGTTAAGAGTTGGAACCAACCTAAATATCCATTGATGGATGACTGGATTAGGAAAATGTGGTATATATACACAATGGAATACTACTCTGCCATAAAAAGGAATGAAATTCTGCCATTCACAGCAGCATGGACGAACTTAGAGAAAATTATGTTTAGTGAAATACGCCAGGAACAGGAAGAGAAATACCACATATCCTCACTCCTAAGTAGGGGCTAAAAAAAAAAAATAAACAAATAAACATAAAAAGAAAGAAAGAGGGCCGGCCCGGTGGCGCACTGGATAGTGCGCCGCTTGGGAAGTGTGGCGGCGCTCCCACCCGAGGGTTCGGATCCCACATACAGACCAGCTCCCGCTCACTGGCTGAGCGAGGCACGGGAGCAACACCGAGGTTTGCAATCCCGTTGCCGGTCCCTGGTCCGGTACGGGGGCAACACTGAGGGTTGCAATCCGTTGCCGGACACGGAAAAAAAAAAAAGACAAAAAGACAAAAAAAAAAAAAAAGAAAAAAAGAAAGAAAAAAAAACCATAATAATTTGTTGAACTTTCAAAAGAAGAGAACAGAACTGAGGCCACCAGAGGCATGAAACAGAGAGAGGGAGAAAAGTTTAGCAAGAAATTGGTAAAGAGCCACAAAAAATGATTACGTTGTGTAATAAAAAATATAGTAATTAAAAAGAAAAAAAAAGCTCACAGTCAGGAAGGCAAGATAGATAAGAGAGCCAGGTATATCCATGCATTGTGAGAGGTGACCCAAGGGGTCCACATAGGATGCTGGGGAAAGACAGAAGGGGCATCCAACTGGGACTGGGGGAGCCACTGCCACAGTGTGACAGGGCAGGCTTCCAAAAGGACACCTTAAACTGAATCTTTTTTTTTTCTTTTTGTCTTTTTTCGTGACCAGCAACGGGATCGCACCCCTCGGTGTTGTGCCCGCACCACGCTCAACCAGTGAGCGGACCGGTCTCTACATGGGATCTGAACCCTTGGCGGGAGCGCCGCTACACTCCCAAGTGCCGCACTCTACCGAGTGCGCCACCGGGCCGGCCCTTAATCTGAATCTTAAGGGACAAGCAATTGTCATCCTCTAGACAGTGGGAACAGCACTTGCAAAGGCACAGAAACAAGGCTCATCTGGTGAATGGTTATTGTCTGGCCTAGCTGGAAGGAAGCAGGTATGGTAAGAGGTGAGAACGAGGCAGAAACCGGAGGCCTAAAGATCTTACTGGCCTTTAAACTGGAAAAGGGCTTTTTTAACCCTTTGGAATCTTTGGCCATGAAAAAGGGCAAATTCAGTGGCCACTTATTTGATAGGAAACATTATAAAGTCAAGTCCTGGCTATCTCAGTAGCAGCCTCTATACTGATCTACTAATCACCAGGTAACTGAACATTTCATCCCCCAGGGGCTCTCCAAGCAAGGCTTCTTGTCCACCAAACCAGACGGCAGACATTCCTCAGAGGCGTTCACAGCTCACCAGCTCTCTTTATCCTCTTTCTTTCCTTTAGTTGGTAAGGCTTGTGATCATGAGACAAGGGAATGGCATTGCCGTCTTTGTCACACAGGACCCCGCGTGAGTCACCCACGTTGGCCACGGTGAGGTCTTTATCTGATAGTAGAGCAATCAAACATGTTGTGCCTGAAAAATAGAAAAGAGAGGCGACGCAGGAGGTCAGCAATGCACTGAGGTTCAGTTGCTTCTGTGGTTACTGGATTCTTCAGTCATTAAAACTGCTCCTGCTGAGTGAGAATTTGACTCCGGCCACTCCGGGAATGATGGCTGTTGACTTCAGCAACACTGATCAGATCTGACAGTCAATTTTCTTGACCATCTTAGAGTGTCACTGAAACAGGCTAGGGTAACATTCTAATTTTCCCAAATCACTTTGTCTCTGCTCCTCTTAACTAAAACACATATCATATTGAAAAGGTTTAGGGCCAGACAATTGATACATATTTTTGGCTTCTCACTGGTGCTGTTTCTGTGAAGTCCCAGATGAAAGTGGAGAGGATGGGGACAGGTGGGCCCCTCAGCTGGAGGGCCTGGAAGAACCAGGAAATGGCAGATGCCAACAGCCAGCTCCTGTGGAGCCATGAGGGACCTTCTGGTGTTGGGCAAGACTGAGCTTTCTTAAACAAAGTCTGACAGCAAAGACTGGTGGCCACAAACAGGTCATCTCCAGAGGGTGGGGAAGCAGACTATAACGGTAAAAGCAGAAAAACCTGTGGTGCTGACAGGAATGAGGTCTAGGTAAATGGGAGGTGGGGGTAGGGGTGGTTGGAGTCAGAAGAGAAGCAAGGCTGAAGACCTGCCTGCCTGGGGCCCACACGAGACACAAAAAGACAAGCTTTCCTCAAATGCTTTTTGTCAGCACCACGCTCAGCCAGTGAGCTAACCGGCCATCCCATATATGGGATCCGAACCCGGGGCCTTGGTGTTATCAGCACCGCACTCTCCCGAGTGAGCCACGGGCCGGCCCTCAAATGCTTTTTGAAATGAAAATGGATGAAAGCAAATAGAATTGAACAGTCTGGTCAAGATGGAGCCTGCCCTGTCCAGCTCCTTTCCTTTCTCCTCCCTCCCTTCTGACTGTGTCAGTGTCAATATGCAAATAAATACCTACTGAAATGCACAATCCATTAATCTCTTGCTTCAAATGGATAACTCCTTTACTTGTTAAAATTATTCATTAATTAGTCTTCATTAACATTTCTCTCCTCATTAAGAAGGTCATATTCCATAACAAGAATATAAACTGCATCTAAATAGCTCTTTAGTCTTCATACAACAACAAAAAAGATTGGATTCTTAGACATAAAGAATAAATACAGGTCAATATCAAAAGCAGTGAGAATAATTAGAATAATTAGCATATGCAGTTATTATAGTTCTGTTTGAAATTCCATCCTCAAGCCTATTTAGCTCAAAACTGCCTTGATGGAAATGGAAGCACATGAAATGTTGGTTAACTCAGGATTTCTAATATGAGAAGCCTTGTGGGGGAAAAAAAGAGAGACTAATCTCAGGGATATCAAAACCAACTTTTTACCTTTTCAAAAAAAGTGATTAAGAATGAAGATGCAAACACAAGCGTAATTCATACAATTAGAAACCATTACTCTGGTTTTTTTTTTTTTTCTTAAACACATCTACTTTTATTTTTTATTTATTTATTTATTTTTTAATTTTTATTTTGTCAATATACAATGTATATGATTATTATGGCCCATCACCGACACCTCCCGCCCTCCTCCCTCTCTCCCCTCCCCGCCAAGAATGTCCTTTCCGTTTACTTGTTGTAACAACTTCAAAAAAGTATAGTTGTTATATCTTCTTCCCCGCTCCCCCCCCGGTTTTTTTTTGTGTGTGTTTGTGGGTGAATAAATTTGTTTGTTTTTTTAGCTCCCTCCGATGAGTGAGAACATGTGGTATTTCTGTTTCTCTGCCTGACTCGTTTCACTCAATATTATTCTCTCAAGGTCCATCCATGTTGTTGCAAATGGCAGTATTTCATTCGTTTTTATAGCTGAGTAGTATTCCATTGTGTAGATATACCACATTTTCCGTATCCACTCATCCGATGATGGACATTTGGGCTGATTCCAGCTCTTGGCTATTGTGAAGAGTGCTGCAATGGTTGCATTCTGGTCTTCAGCCGTCCTTACCTTGTCCTTAAGATTGTGTTACACAAGTTAACCCAATCAGATGCTTGAGAAAAAGCATCCCAAGATTCTGGCTACTAGTTTTGAGATAAGAGATTTATTTCATCATAGTGTTATATATCAAAAATGCCAGGGCCTGACAATATTACTTAATTCTGACCCTCAGGATGTTTCTATATTAATAATTTAATCTAGACGAGAACTTAATTGCAAATCTGAAAGAGATCTTGGAAATTTAATCTAATAACCTCACCTGACAGATTAAAATAAGTAAGTAAATAAAAAAGTGAATTCACACAGACTAGACTTCAGTGTGCTAGCTGAGTGAGGTCTGCAAAGTTACTTGACTTTTAAGCCTCAGAAAACGGCACCACAACCCATTCAGTTGCTCAAGCCAGAAACCTAGGAGTTAATCCCGGTTTTTTTCTTTTCCTCCTGCCTGACATTCGATCCATCATTAAGTTGTCACTCTTATCTCTAAAATACATCTTAACCCCTTTCATTTCTCTAGTTCTCACTGCACTGACTCTAGTCCCAGCCACCACCATTTCAGTTGTCCAGGTAGGAAACAGTGGCAGCAGGTCCTGCATGATCTGGCCCTGACCTAAACTGCTCAATATCACTATCATGTCATAGCACTCTCTCCCTTGCTCAAGGCCTCCCTCTGTTGCCCACACATGCTAAGCTTTTTGTCATCTCTTGGCCTTGTACTTGCTGTTCCCTCTGCCTGGTGCATTCCTCTGTCCTTGACACTGGCTGACTAATGTATCCGGCAATGTCTTAGTTCAGGGGTGACATCCTCATAGAGGCCTTCTCTGACAGAGATCTTATCTCCTCTTCATTTCTTTTCTAGCCCTCATAGCACATAATTATGTAGCTATCTTGCTTATTTGTTTAAACTATTTATTTAATGTCAATCTTCTGCCACAGAATATAAATTTCACTAGGGTGGGGCTATTATTGTCTGCTTGTTTTCCCTACTATAATGCTGATGTCTAGAATATCACAGGCACTGACATTTGCTGAATAAACAAATTAACAGATGAATGGATAAACAATCACACATAATATCCTGACCTGACATTATGCTAAGCTTCTGAGGTCTTACTCTGACAGGTCAGCCCAGTTCAATATCACACAGAACACCATCTTCCAGATATTGCCATACAGGGAGCTACTGCTCAGTTGTAGCAAAATACATTTTACACATTGACAAAACATGATGACCCTCCTATACACATAAAACATAGGCTCACACACACACTGCTGGTAGGTAGAGAGAACTTCCAGCCCAGGCGTGTACCAAGTTATTTCCTCCTGTCCAGGATCCTGGTCCAGTGCAAATAAAACATGGGCTTCTATCCTTGCCATACCTTCCAAAGCAGTGGTACTTTATGAAGCAATAAAGGTGCATCACAGTGGACATTACATGTATAATCTGGGTCTGCTTCTGACCTCCATTTATACTAAAATTGATGTGTGATTTGTGTGTTTTTGTGCAAAATGGGCACGTTTTTGTGTTGTCCTAATAATTCTTGTTTTCCTTAGGGAAAACACACAAATGCAAATTATTCATCGGTCTATTCCCCTAAACCAGCATTTTCTCCTCTAACAATTTCTGGGATGGAGAAAAAGTGAAGGCATCAAGGAAAGCTATTCTAGACTTATCTAAATATTTTAGTTGGATAATACCTGTATTAGGCACTTAATTCATTTGATGAGTTGAACTTGAGAGAAATGTAAATTATAATGAAAGTCAAGTAATTTGGGGTATCTTAACTATCTTTTTTTTTTTTTCATGTCCGGCAACGGACCGCAACCCTCAGTGTCGCGCCCATACCAGACCGGGACCGGCAACGGGATCGCAAACCTCGGTGTTGCTCCCACGCCTCACTCAGCCAGTGAGTGGGAACTGGTCTGTATGTGGGATCCAAACCCTCAGCGGGAGCGCCGCCGCGCTTCCCAAGCGGCGCACTGTAGCAGTGCGCCACCGGGCCGGCCCTTAACTATCTTTTAAAACCCTAGTTATGGATACAAAGATGGCGACGGGTCTGGAGCGGCCGTGCCAGGAGACAGCGCGACCCTGAGAAGTGTACGCTGTGATACCAGAGTACTATTTGCATTTCCAAGAGCAACAAAAAATCGAATAAATCTTTGAACAACTAACCTACAATGACGAAAAAGCAACTACAGATTCGAGGTTTTTGGGCCATCACAAAAGAAAATTCCTGAGAGCGCCCAAGCCGCGCTGCGGGATCGAGCAAGCAGCCCGAGACAACAAAGGCCAAGTAAGTCAGCAGAGACGACACAGAAACAGAGTGGAAGGCACCGGACCAGCCCAACTCTGCGAGTTCTGTGAGTCACCCCCAGTCCAGCCCCACTTGCAGGGCAAAGCCCGTTTGGCTTCCGCCCGCCTGGCTCCCACCCACCTGGCTCCTGCCTACCACACCAGGCTAGGCCACGGCAACAGTACTGCCTCCATTTTCTAGGGTGGGGGTGGAGACAGCCCCTTAGCTTGGCGCAGCTCCTCACTGAGATGGGCCACTTGCATACCTCGACACGGGGCCCCCCGGGGTCTGTGGACCGGCCTACAATCCCACTCCCCCCACGGAACTCTGACGGGGCTGCTGGCAGGAGGAGCCCCCGGCCAGCGCCGGGAGGGCTGGGAAGTGGAGCCCGCCCAGACTGTCACTCCACCACACCCTGGACTTTGGCCCCAAGTAAACTCCCTGTTTCTGGGAGGCAGATACCCATCTCTGTGGCCCTCAGTTCGGAAGAACCCCAAACTGATTTGTGGTTGGGAGAGGGGAGCCCGGAGCGCTCTGGAGCTGGATTGAAGTTGCCGGAGAGCACTCCCGGAGGGCGCCTGGGTCGACCCGTGCTGGGGGGATTCAAAGAGGAACTGTGTGCTGTGGGTCCCTCCCCCGAGGAGCTCACACCCTGGAGTTGGAGATAACTTTACCACACAGATAGCCG